ATAGAATAGAATTCAAGTGTGGACATTATGTCGCGGAGAACCTAACGGGTTACCGGGGCTCCGGCTCGACGTGCAGGAGAAGGAACGGGGTGGTTTTTAGTCAGTAAGAGTCTGACACTCCCTCCCGCCTCACCCGGGCGGGAGCAGTCATTCGATGATTTTCCCCACTTAAAAAAAAAATAAAGAAAAAGTGTGGAGATTATGTCAAGCTGTCTTATGAAGAGAAAACCCATAGTCTAGTATTTGATCGTTACGAATTGTTGGTGAATATATATATAGGGTTACATAGAAAGAAAATATCATCACCCCTTTTATACCCGATGGGGTAAACAGGGGTGCACATTACGGTACTTAACGCCACTGTACAATGTAACACCCACTTTTCACTATTTAATATATACCCTCTATGTCTATGAGCCTATTGCTATATATCGGGCACAATTCCAGACTCCGTGCTACTACTGAGACTTTTTTTTTATAAAATCCCTAGCAATGTCTTTCCCGACCCGGGAATCGAACCCAAGGCCCTGCAGTCGCAATTGCGACCATTCGGCCAACAAGGCAGGGCAGGGAAAAAAATGAATAGTAATAATCAACTTTTAGTCTTTTATTTCCACAAGGCGTACTCGAGGCGATGATCACATTAATCCCTGAGTATTTTATGAATCAAATATTTTAAGTTATGCAATTTAATTTAAAACAATAATATTTACGTTATACTTTGCCCACGCACTCGACACTACACGATTGTTCTCCTTTTTGTATTACAAAAATGCTTTACATACATTTAGTCAATTCAATTACAGTTTTTAAGACCTGTGTAGTAAGCAAGACTGTATTAATTCTTTTATTTAACAACTAGCGACCCGGCCCTGGCCTCGCACGGGTGCAACATGCATGTATTATACATATAAACCTTTCTTAAGAATTACTCTATCTATTAAAAAAAACCGCATCAAAATCCATAGCGTAGTTGTAAAGATCTAAGCATACATAGGGACAGACAGACGGCGAATAGCGACTTTGTTTTATATATTATGTATTGACACACCTACAAAAAACATCCACTATCCATTTTTCGGAACCAACAAACACTATTGTCTACAAAAGCCATTTATAGACAACAACAGCGACATCTAATTAATTCTGCAACAACTACCGGCCGGCAGTATTCACTATCATACGATTCAGCGCCTTCCCTCTTTCAGTACGAACCTAGAAATGAGGTGGGGGATGCAACACTACCGCTACCGTGCAACCCTAGGCTGTTTGCAGTTCATAAATCAAAGTACAGGTGGCGTTGATGTCGAAAATCGGCGCGCTATATGGGAAGATTTATATGAGTGTTCATGGAGTGTACTGTGGTAGGGAAGGGATGAAAAATGTTTTTTTATTGTTTTATGTGTGGTTTATGAACTGATGAATGTCGTGAGTTTTGTAGTGAATAAATAGAAGTGATACTGTGTTAAGAGTTTTTGAAGTTTATGTTAAAAGTGATTACTTTTATTATAAAAACATCATTGACAATAACACAAAGCATACCGTTGTAGCTGCTCATAAAACAAAGGTATTGAAATAAACTCCTTAATAACATACGTACTTGGAATAACTTAAATTTCTAAAATGGTGGAGAACGCATAGCATGTTACCTACATCTACATCTTCCTTCAATTAAGAATAAACGCAAAAAACAGCTACAAGAGACAATTCGCATAGCGCTCATGCATATACTACAGTATAATACTACAAACGTAATTTAGGACGCTCTTCAGCAGTGACGTGGACCATCCATAAGGGGTCTGGATGCAAAGTTCTGAGGATGAAGCTCAGTATGGCGTGATATTGGCAAGGCCTATGTTCCCAGATACGCAATTTGGCTGATGACGATGATGATAATTACATTACACAACTTGGAACAACTATAGATACCGAGGTCTATAGAATATCAAGGAAAACTAAAACAAATAAAGACGTCTGCATAGCTCCACGCTCTCCTGAATGCCTTTTTTCACGATTTCCTCGTAATATCCTTGTACGAATCGTGTTTTAAACGTTTGCATCCTCATTACAGAGGATCTTGCATAACGCTGGTGGAAAACGTTATTTCCGAAATACACTGTAACTACTTGTATGAGTTGCATCATTGTAGAATGTTGTTTAGATTTTAAATTCATTGTCAAGATCAAGTACTATCAAGCAGGAGGCCCATAGTACAAGAACCGACTATCACAGAATGTTGATAATGTTTAACAACCCTCAATACTCAATACTTTATTGCTTTTCACATGTATTACTTAGGTGGTAAACATAATTAGGACACAATGTGAACCCTGTCGGGCACAACAACATAAGTTTTGGAGGGACACAGCTGACATGTCATTCGTAGAAAAAAATAAAAATAATTAACTTACAATAAAATTAATATCAAATGGAATACAAGATAAAGGTATAATTGAAATTGTAGTATTTAGGATTCGAGTTATTTTTTACTAAGTCATAATCATAATAAAATAAAAAGTCATATACAAAATTACAATTAAAATTAGATGATTGTAGTATAGCAGAAGTGTTCACAAGGGTGTATTATGAATACCTTTTTCACTTCTATTTAAAACTCAAGTAACGATATCGATAATGCCAATGATATTTCAAACCAGACTTGGTCCCAGACTGTTACAACAGCAACTGTTCATCAAACAGGAAAGAAACCTACATTAACAAGCGCAGTCATGATGATGATCAAAATATTTCATCATTAACAAATTAGCGTGAACAAATCATCATCGTTTATCATTGTGAGAAGGAGTTCAAGCGTTCTCCTGTATTAAGATCAGCAACCTACACGTAATGCTCAGAATGGAAGGCTAATTATGCCATATCTCATACAACGAACTGGTCATTTGGTAAATTTTGGGATGTTAAGATGGACGACAGAGGCTATAAGTTATAGCGAAAATTAGACTAGTTAAGAAGAAGTTTGTTATTTATGCGTTTTGAAAGAATTAATTAAATAACACTGGGAATTTTATTTTCTATAAGTAGAACTACTATGTATGGAACACCTAACTAAATATGTCATGATGAGTTACACTCACACGTGTAGGGGCGAGTTTGTAACTACAGTGAAAAATTTCCAAAACAAATGTTCGACACGAATCAAAACCACCAGCGTGACAGTCACTAAACTAATGCACCAGTCGAAAATTTAGGTTAAGGCACACAGACTACCGTAAGAAACAACTTTATCTTCAAACTCTCCTTGATCAAAGACACACACCACCAAATCCCCCTCCAATTCAAAACAATACGCTTTGTACTAGATACAGAAGTAGCCCTTTGATGAAACCTGTTTCAGTCCCACGTGTCTCCGCCATTGACCTTAAAGGTACCACCTGCCTTCCCACGGAAGTTGAAGGTCAGATAGGGGGGCTGATTAGCGAGGAAATACCAACAGGAGACGTCATGTTGGTGAGAACAGGCGTGGTTTACAAAATTGACGAGAAATGTTGAGTGACTCACGAACATATAGACGTAAAAGATGATGATTCAATTGTAGATTTGAAAAGGGATATAAAATTGATTTTTTTTAATAAAAGTCAAAGAAATGAAGTAGAATATTTCGTTAACGTAACAAACTTTTTTATCTAACATTCTAAAGAATGGGTTAACGACACTTCCATTGCGCAAGCAAGCAAAAACATTACTTAAAGAACTTGGCTAGATACTCATAAACAAAACAATTGAACTATAAAAACAAACTAATTAGCCTAAAAATCTTTAGACCATAAAGGAAAAGACAAGACTATAAACAGCTACGGTCATTTACCTTGGCACAACAAAAAAAATTAACAGTTACAAGAACAAAAAACTACCATGGGGGATGAAAAACACTATAAAACGGACCTAATAGAAAAAATTGTAATAGAAAACAACAATGGGTTGTATAAGTTGAAATTCTATGTAGCTGTACATAAAGAAATCGGACGCATTTGTCGAATATTAAAAAGTGAAGTGAAAGTAACTATGAATGCACATTTAAAACCATATTATATGGGTCATAAGATTCATAATACAAACGATCTAAATGGTGAATGCTACAATTTGGAATGTTTAATGGATGCACTTAAAGATAGCCCATAATTTGAGCGCAGATTTGAGAGATTAGTATTAATGACTTTTGTTTTTTTTGAAATGATATCAACTAAACAAAAGAATACATTTTTAAGTCCACACCAATTTCGTAGACTAATAACTACCGGTCCAGAAACAAAAATATTATTTTAGTGATAGGAACTGGATCAACAACTCAAAGTTTGTTAAATCGTAGGCAAATACAGAAAAAAAAACAAAAAGCTGAGAGACATTTACTAACTTGGCACACTAACCTAACTTCTCAAACATTTTAAGTAACAAAATTCAGATCCATCATAACACTAACCAAAAAACGTCAAATATTATCCATATTACCTCCATCTAATCTATTTCTAAAATTTATCTAACGAGAGCGAACAAATCCGTTATCAATATAAATCATCTTATCATGGAGTCAGTCAAATGGTATTACGTTTCAATGAGGTTGCGCATCATATTCTGTTACATCAACGACATAGACGACGCCATTTGCAATCAACACTGCGTTGGTTACGCTCGCGACTATGCCTTGTAATGAATGTTACGTCTTATTTGCGGGAGATTCAATTACTATAACTTAATTTTAATTCGGATTATAAATGTTTGTATATGCGTGCTGTGAATATATGATTTAGAAGCAAACTGCGTGAATTTTTGTAATAAAATAAATCTATCAATTCAACTAATAAATTCTATGAAAATCGGTCAATCGCATCGAATGCTAGGCATACCTACGTTATAAAAAATTTGTTATAACGCGTAAAAAACACCTATGTAATCGAGAACCAACATCGATACATATAACAATACCAATCATACTTTGATAGACGACAAAAAGTAATGAAACATAAATAAGTAATAGTACTTACAAGGCCCAATATTCCTCCCAATTCTTCTCCTTCGTGGAACCGTACCCTCGTGGAAGGGTGGCAGTCTTTGACCTCCCATTCAGGGAAGCAAAGGATCCTCGTTTCTCCTGCAAGCTCATCACTGAATGACGAGACACAGGTTCGGAACGAAACGACTGAAAGGAGACCTGGGATCCCTCATCAGACTTCAAACTGGTCTGAGAACCTTTGAACTTCCCATTAATCTGTGGTTGGGAGTACTGTTCTTCAGATTCGTTTCCATTTCGATAATCCCCATAATTGCCATTCAACGATCGACTTCCAGAGTCAGTTCTGGCTGGAGGAGGCCTAGGGGCTGTCTTCCGATAGTCGAACGAATCTGTTCTATTGAAAGACGAGGTCCTCTTCACCATTTTTGGTGATTCCTGTATGTTGACCAGAGATGGCATTTTAGCTTCCTTCTCCATGTCAATTTCGTGTTCCAATTGATTCTGGACATGGGCTAACATCTCCTCCAGATCTCCAAGATCTGGATCAATGTTCATTTTCATTCGCCGCATCTTGGAATGTTCAATTTCGTTTATCACAATCGATCACGGTCACTGTCACTGTTAAGAAACTTTATTATTGATGGATTCTTTGTTATCACTAACATTCAAAGCTCAGTTTTCCGGTCACTTATAAACATATATTTATCTTAAAAATACATATAACAACGTAAACAATTCTAAATCACGTATTACGAAAATCGAATTTGAATTCGCAAAAAAATAACCGTCGTCTCGGGCGACGTGCGCACGCGGCTACGATCGGCGCGCGAGTGACACAGTTATCAAAGTGAGTGACACGCACACTGCACAGTGAACCTCATCCGTTATCTTCAACTGACATCCGATAGTGGGCAGATAAAGTAAACAGATAAACAATGCGATTCACAACCTTACAACATTGAAAATAAGAACTAAATAGAACTTAGTAATCAATAGAAGGGACATTGATCGATCAAATGTTTTCCTAGATTAAGTTTGCTGTTTTCTTGCACTTAAGTCCAGTGGGATAAGGTTGAATGTTAAATAGCATAGAGAGGGGATAAATATGTTAAGTTTGTGGGTTATTGTAAAACTAGTGCAGTGTAACTGGGTGGGAAAGTAGTAATTTTATACGTTTATGTCTGTATTCATTGAGTACCTATGCACCGTGGACGGATAAAAAACAAAACGGGACCACAGACACCTTTGCGGTGCAAGCACAGTTGCAAAGTCTTTTATAGCTATTAGAACTGTAATTAAAGATAATTATTATGACTGCATGCAAGAACCTTGCATTTTCCGAAGCCATTATAACCTTAAAACAAAATGTTTGAGTGTTATAAAATAAAACCTATCATAAATTACGTTATTAACTTATCACTAGCTGAGCCTGCGGCTTGATCCGCGTGGAATAGTCATTCACAGTTCCTCCCCCAAAGTTAGTAATATGATAATATGTCGCCTATATATTGACACGACCTGTAAGTAATATTCATGCAAAATTTGAAGTAAATCGCACTTTTTGAGTTCATCCCGTACAGACATACATATAGACAGACAAACATTCTAAAAAACATATTTTTGATTTCGGTATCGACTGTAGGTCACGGCCAAAGCATTCTTTTAAAATAATATGTGATATACTGTACAGTTTTTACTTTCCTACGATTTTATTATATGTATACAGATGGTGGTATTATAAAATGTTATTATATGGATCAGTTATATAGTTTAGTGTAACAATTGTATAGTATAGCATACCTAACGATGGTAGGTAAAGTGTAATACATTAGTTAACGAACAATACAGTATTATGATGACATCATTTACACTGAGAAATTAGATACGGCGCACACTTTGCTATTGTGCGATTATATTCGTCACATTACTTATACATGTTATGTAAGACGCAACGTCAGACTTCTTGCAGCCTGGTAGAACGATATCTTTATGAGGAGTAGGAGCCACTGGATATAGAAGGAAACAAAACATCGGTAGTATAGAAAGAGATGATGAGGATTTGTCTTGTAAATCCAAAGATTTAATAGGAGACTTTTTAAAGATATTTATGGGGACTTGTGAACTATCTTTTACAGCTAGAACTACACTGATAACGCCCACGTTACCCACATGGAGGAAGTAAAGGTACTTTTAGTACCGCATTCAAATGTACGACAAATTGGTTGGACAAAGTTCATGGATAGTACTTCCCGACTACGTGGGTACGACTAGTCGTTTATTTGCGGCATTGCTTATTGCATAATATTCGCTTTTTACTCCAGCAAGAGTTAAGCAGAAAATAATTAATACTATTACTGAGTTAGTTATGTTATCTTCCAAAAAATCTTTGTGCCAGACACCAGCCCTGATTCTAAACTTTGCGCTATTTCTATTGAGATTTTTCGAAAATCGACAAACCAATCGGTTTGGTAATTAATCCTAAGACCCTTTAATTCAGTAGCCACGCTTGCTGTTACTGAGCCAACGATACAGGCAATACTTTTACTTATCCAATTACCTACTTACATGCAGAATCGAAGATATTACAAAGCAATTGGAGATTATTTCAACTTTCTCCAGATTATTGAATGATTGAACTCCGTCTTACTTTTCCTTTCTCTTTTATTGCATTATGATTTGTTTTATTATTATTATTGCATAGTTATCGATGAGTTGTATACGTATATCAACTTCACTATCGGTAGTTACGAAGTATTAACACTGGTTGATACTGGGTAAAGGCCCTTTCTCACACTGAGAGTCAATTGATCACCTCGCTTTCTTTAGGAGTATTGGCATATTCAATGGTATGTATTTCAATTGCGTATGGTTCATTAATCGATCTCCAACCCGCCTCCAATGGTAAAGTCATGGGAGAGAACGCCTGTGTTCAGCAGTAAACATCTTGTGGCTAATAAGATGATGATGTTACAGATGCTAGGTGATAGAGTAACATTGATTATTTAATTACACTTATTAATAAATAATAATACACAAGTGCGACTATACTCTTTGGGAAGTACAGACATGTATAATGTGCTTTATTTAGGAACATTAAAAACAAACGTTAACTGTACGCCACACCTTACGCTACCAACGACCTATTATCAAATCGTATGCTGCTCCTAATTGGCAAAGATTTGTTGCGTTCGCACTCGAATCTTTTAGCTAATTGTTCTTTATTAAGACGTTTCAATTCTGACGAGCGTATGACGACCAGATTGATATTAATTGTCGGGTTATTGTCCTGATTTTGATTGTAGAATGAAATGTGAAATAATTTATACTGTGTAAAAAATTTGAAATAATTATAGTTTTTGATCTTGATTTTCCTAAATTTTAAAGAACCTCTAAGCTAATATAGGTAACACTTAATAACATTTTGGTTTTCATTAATCTAAAAGTGATACCTAACAGTACAAGTTAGGGGCTAGTTTAGGCCATTAGTCTCTTAAATACGATTATGTTTACAAGTCTATCTCTATGAAGGATAAGAATCATTATATTATATTTAAGAGCTTTTTATTCGAAAGTATATAAGCTTTTGTTAAAAACTTTGTTGTAAATCTACATGAATTTACAATTTGGAAATCAAAACACTGTATTCAAAGTAAAAGATGTAAGCCATTATTAATATGAAATGCATATTCTTTATTATTAAAAAAGTATATTAACAATCACATAAATATCTTACTACGGAAGTGAATCATTCTGATACAGAAATACTCGACAACGTGCGACACGTCATTTCTTACATGTTATTTCGTTGTAATCTGTTCTATAAGGATATATATGGTTTTTTTTTCTAAGAATTATTTGTTTACTGTTCCTGTTATGTGCATTACTGTGTTAAAATAATAATGAATTACCTGCTAATTTTTATTTTTAGGGTTGGTCCTAAAATTGTCCCTTGGGGTAGCCCTCTTTTGCTCAAAATGTTATTGCCTTACTTTTTCTGTAATTCTGTATTGTGTTATTGTGGATGTATGGTAAAATAGTGACGTATGATAGCGGATAATATGGAAGAAGAAGACTATTGAGCTGACCTGAATTAATTCAGTATAAGGGGCATTTAACTGGCAAAGGATAACTTTTGGCAAAAACTTTGGGAAATAATACAACAGATATGTTATTCTATACATTGCATTATATCTATGTACTTCAAAAACCGTAGATAATGATAAATATTTGAACAAAATACATATCACCTGACCGGGTAACGACGGTCTAGTTCTCTTATCTTTAGTAAACAAACAATTAGTTTATCGGGCATATTTGTTTAGCCTCTAATTACTTTCGACTACTTGTAATGCTTTAAACTATGTAAAAACCTTACAATGGTTTTGTGATAATGTCTAGGTCATTAACCTGATTTATGGAAATTTCTGTGCTAAATATTTATGTCGTTAACTAAAAATCGCGGGTTACTTACGTGAATATACTGAGAAAAGCTCTACTAGTTTCGAACTACAGAGGGGTTCATCCTCATGAGCAGCGTGCGCGGTCGCCTACTTACTAGTATACTGTGCTAGTACGCTGCGCGACATCTCCTCGACCGAGTAACCCGCGTTTTTTTAGTTAATTTAGTATGTATCACGATAGTTATTATAAAACATATTTATGTCATTCTCTAGATCAGCTATTACCGTCTTCTGCAGATCAACGAGTTACCGAAACTCCAGGTTGAAGCAGCTCTTCATCCAAGATGAGAGAAGTCATTTGATGATGTCCCTCCACAAAAAAGCCGCTACCCTCTTATGGGATTTATTTCATTTCAAATAGGTACGAGTTCCTGCGTGTATGTGATCATATATTTAAGTCACTTAAGGATAATATAATAATTAAAGCAAGGGACCTCTAGAAGTTGACGTTGATTTAAAAATTTCAACTCTTTTAACTTATTGCACACGAAGTGTCGATGTTATATTATTGCGATATTTACACACAGTAAGTTAAAACATTATTGTTATCTGAACAGGGACATTACGGCCAATGACGGAAGTTTGTGTGACCGAGTGAGATAAGCAGGGAGCAATACCAACAGATTACAATGTTTCGTTCTTTTTTTTGTAATTCATGAAGTAATTTCAGACCTTGATCCTTTGAGGTTAAGGTTTAACTTAGAAGTGGAAGTAACAATAAGTTAGATCGGTAAACTGAAATGTTGGTGCAAAAAACATGGTCAGTTAGAATTTTAGCGTGAACAAAATCGAGTGTAGAAACTGTAAGTATTTGATAACTACATGGAAAACCCTGACCGGAATTAACTGTTGACTCAATCGATGATGGTGTTGCATATTAAAAATAAATCATTTACTTGAAAATATTGGGAACTTTAAACGGATTTGTCAGTCCATAATTATTTCAACAGACACAATATACGTTTTATTAAACAAACACCTACAACATAGGATTATTCATCGTCTTAGCATTACTCTAGTTTCAGAACTTAGCCATACAACAACTCATTTAAGCCCAGCCACTATAAACCACTACAGCATCAAACAATCTCCTCACAATTCGATAACGTT